ACAAAAGCGATGTGGATGGGTGAGTGAATGTTTGACTTAGGAGAGAGTCCGAGATAAATCCCTTCGTAACCACTTTTGCCTTAGTCGGTTTGGCGGCTTGTCTCTCCGAGAGACAGTGAGAGAAAACGTTCAGACGAAGGACGTCAAGCAGCATTCGCCACCAGGAATAGCCAACAAAAAAGACAGCGGGTTTGTTGAAGCGATATTTCGAACTCTCTATGTTCAGTGGGAATTCATCTGCTTCGATTTGTTTATTGCCTCCGTTCTAGGTACACATCATCGAGAACCTCATTGGAGCTATCCGGTGGAGACGTGAGGATCGCGCGGACGCGAATACGCATCGACCGCACTTTACCGTCGACGGTTCCGCTTCGCGGCACAACGTGGCCCTCATCAGTCAGAACATCGAGGACAACTACGGTGCTCGCAAAAACATTGATAATGTGAGTGCTTGTGCCACCCTTGTTCACCTCTTCTGACCGTCGCTATCGTTTCCGGTCGATTTCTCCTGCCAGATTGGCTCTGCTGTCCCTCAGTCTCCCTCTTTCCGTTTCGGTTGCTCTGGGTTTGCATGTGTGCTGGTTGTTTAGATGTCAGTGTCATCTACGCTGAGTACGCTGTCGGGCTGCTCCTCCGAGTCTCGTCCCACTCCGTCACTGATACCGGTCGTGCCTCCGGTCGACTACGACGATCCCGATTCCGGTACCGGTGGCTCTGACAGTGACACGCAAAGTAAGAATAGATTAGAATGCTTTGTGTGATCGTGTCTTCCCCTTTGCTTCACTCGTTTCTGAACTTCATCTATGCCCTTCTTTCCTTGTTGCCTCAGTTTGATACAGCTGACAACTCCCCATTCAATGATTTCTCGTTATCGAACATTATTCATCACATACCCAGCTGATTGATACTTGTTAATATTTCCAGATGCGGAAAGTGGGTCATTTGAAAGGAAAGTACTACTAAAATGGACGTGCGCTGATGCCCTTCAGTGGCTAACTTCATTGGGTAAGTGGTGTGTTGCTGTCAGAGTCAAAAGCTGTATTCCGTTCTCCTTGTCTTCAACGGTGTGAAGTGTTGTGTGTGAAACGTGCTAGGATGGACCTGGAATTTGCCCCGTAAGGCCTTGAGTTTTTGAAGAAAGTTCACGTCTTAGGCAGCCATTTAAACCACAGTACTTATCAATCTGTTCGAGGACGTGGGCTTCTTGAGTGCTTTAGAACTTGGTCTCTTTCAAGATCCGTCAATTATGCGCAGGTTTTACAGGGAACGAAACTTCACAAGCTCCTCAGAAGTGATATTTGTGTGGGAGATCATTTTGACGCAATTTTGAAGTAGCGAACTTGGTGTTTAATCTCAAACGGCGTGGGGAGGGTCAACCGTCAGTTGTCATCTGAAAAATTTTCACGACTTTACATTCTTACTGAGCCTCAATACGGCCGTCCCCCACCCCCTTCCACCTTCACCGTCAGACTGTTAATTACATAGCATTCGATTTTGATATCTTCAAATACACCTATTTTCCCCAAACCATCTATCGAGCAAATGGGAGTGGTGGTGGGGACGGGGCGGGAGAGGGAGGAGGGTAGGAAGGAAGTAAATGTGTACGAAAATAAATTGCTTGATTTTTGGAAAAGAGACGTGAATAGAAGTTCCCTAGTCACATTTACTTGCCGAGGTTTTCGATAGAATCGTTGAAAACCTTCAGAACAGCCACCTTCCCTCTCAACTACTTCGCATCTTGAAAATCTCAAACGCGACCCCTGTCATAACCAAGCTCCCACCAAAAACCAAACGCCGACATCTCTTCTGAAAATACCGAAGACGGGCCATCCTTGAACTTGGACAACGTTGCCCAGCATCATGTGATAAGGCTCAATATTTATTAAGAACTGTTACTGGCTTTAATGGTGTTTTTGTGCCTTAACGGACTTCGTGACATTGGAGATTTCTAATGCGACTTGGAGGGAAGCTACATCAAGGTTTTCCCCTGTTGTCGTAATGTTTCTCCAGGGACTCACATTCATTTCAGTATTTCACCAAAGCAACGATGTCACTAAGGAACGAGGGCTAGAGCATAGACACTATTTGTTTGGTTCACGACAAGCCCGTTAGGATCGGGTCCGATGCCAAACACCTGGAGCTAAAGCTTATCAGAAGCATGTCATCTCTCAAAGACCAGTCTGGGATACCCCATGAAATGAAGCCCTTGCGCAGAAAATGTGGAGTGATACGCGAGCGCAAAGCACGTAACCACTTGGCTTGCGTTTGGCTTAAAGCAACAGTCCAGGCAGGGTTTCAACCATTTGGTTTTCAAGTGGTGGAAACATGCCTCAGCCTGATTGGAGTTCATGGGAAATGTCACAAACTTCAAAACTTACCTCTGAAAGGCGTTGGAAGCAGTCGAAATCCTTCAAGAGGGAGC